AAAAAAAAAAAAAAAAAGACTTGAAATTCACCTCTTATTTATATTTTTTTCATTTATTTATTTTTACTTCAACACAAATTATATTAGAGGGATTCATTTAATTTTTTTTTTAAATTTAAATAGATAATATAAAAACATTATTACTTTAGAACATTAACATATCGATTTAATTTTCATAATTGAATCAATCTAACCTAGATTTGATTAAACGAGGATTAATATGTCAATTTAATTCTCGTCAATCCTCGTCTCGGACTCCACTCAGTTCACCGTCACAAAAATTTATCGTTAAATTTTGAAGATCATATTAACATATCAATTTAATTCCCGTTTTCGACTCACTCAATTCACCATCCATACAAACATTTGCCCTTAAATTTCGAAGATCGTACTAGCTTATCAATTTAATCCTAGTTCTCGACTCCACTCAATTCACTGCCATCACAAGAATTTACCTTTTAACTATACCGATCGGATTAACCTATCAATTTAATAAGTAATTTTTAATTATTTTGTATCTAATTTCATTCCAAATAAATTCGAATTTATTGCACTACAATATTATTTTTTGCACCGAAAAATAATAAATGTATTTTAAAAAGTAAACAAAGCCAAATATAGAAAGTATATAATATAAAAGAGTACTATTTATTTAATTATAATATTTATTTTAATATTATCTTTATCTTTGAATTTAAATAACTTTTATAAATAAAATCTATTTATTAAACAAAATGAAAAATTAAACCATTACTCGTGAAAGTTATAGCAAATAAATTATTTGAAAATTTAAAATATTTAAAATTATACAGTTTGATTTTAAACAGAGGACGAATTTGTAATTTAAGTAAATGATTAATGTGTAATTTTAGCTAAATTATATTTAAAATTATATTTGGGCGACTTTCATCAAACAAATATATATATATATATATATATATATATATATTTTTTTTTTTTTTTATAAATATAAGTATTTTTTTCTAAGGTATAAACCAAATTTAGAGTTTTTTTTTTCTCTAAATAATTTGGTAAGTGATTAAATAAAAATATGTATATTAAAAATCAAATAATAAGAATATTTATATGACTCGACTTAATCAGCTCAGACTATCCAACCTCAAATCAATAACGTTTGGTTTGGTACTGTCCAACTCCAAAATAATAAAGTTTGATTCGGTTAGATTTTTTTTTTTACCTGTTTGTTTTAGGTTGAGTTTAAATTCTTGAAAATAAAAAATTAGTTTGTAGATGACATTTTTTCTTTTTTTTTTTTGTTAGGCGGTTAAAATTAAACCCGAACCAATTTAAAAAAATAAAAAATATTTATTATTTTAGGGATGCAGATAATAAGTGTTAACTTTTGAACTTGTCACAACGGTACTTTGATAGCAACAGATTTGCAATTGTATGGCACTCAATTCTCAAGATTGTACGACCTATTCGTCCTTGCATCGCTTACGGCCAAACGACGTATGCTCGAGCCTCTAGCTTTGGTTCAAGAAGAAAGTTTTAAAAAATGAGAATGCAACTATATGAAATTTTAGTAATGTAATATGTAAGTGAATAAATGTGATTAAAAAAAAAAAAACAACCCGACAATCTAATCCAACCCAACAAAAAATCGAACGTTGAGTTGATGGTAAATTTTATTCGAATTGTTCGAGTTACCAACCAATCATATTCGAAATATTGAATTAATCAACTCAACTTGTCTATACTCTAGTCGGAATAAGCTATCGAAAACATAAAATTTAAAGTATTGTTTTAAAAATATCAACCTTCCAAATTTAGAGAATATAATAATTTCCAGGATACAAAAATTTAAACCTACAAATTTATTTCTTTAAAATGAAATATGGTTTTTTAAGAATAAATATAATTTTTAAAAATATTATAATTCAGTAGTTAAAATTAATATATCGCGTCGAAAATTTTATAAAAAAATATAGATGATATCAAGAGTCTATTCAAACGATAAATGATTAAGTTATATTATATACATAAATTTAGTTTTTGTTTATAAAATTTAAACATAAATTTTGCACATAATTAAAATAATTTAATATAAATTTATCAATAAGATTACGATAGAAAAAACTAAAATAAAAAATAAAATTGTAAAGTTTATAGAAAAAAGAAAAAAAAGATCCATGGGCGGCTGTGAAAACAAAACAAATCATAGGGACAGTATCGTAAATAAGAGAAGTAGTAGGGGCAAAATTATTAAGCATTAGTAGGGATAGTATCGTAAATAAGAGAAGTAGGAGGGGCAAAGTTGTAATAAAGATAAAATTAATCGAACTTTGAAAATGGAACTGCAGCGACTAGCCCCAGACTCAAAACCACATTCTTCGCGTAAAGCCATAAACTCCGTTACCGTCGGGGAGATAGAGAGAGAGAGAGAGATTTAAAAATCGGAAAAAGGGAAAGAAATTTTAACGCTTGTGGGAAATTGCAAAATTGCGTGCAATCACTGATTGCGTCAACTGAGCTTCACTGGTTGAGCCCTAAGTCCGATCCGGTTGGCCATTTTCCAAAAATCTAGCTTTAGAGGGAGAGAGAGAGAGAGGGGGGGGGGGAGATTTTTTTTTCCTTTTCATTTCCTTTTTTTCTGTTGGGATGGAAGGGTTTTGAACATTGGGATCGGAGGGTATATATAGGGTTTCCGTTGAATTTTCTAGGGATTTTGATTTATTAAACTTACCCGTTTTATTTTAATTTTGTCTGTTATTGACCGGAGTGAGAGGAGGGGGGTTGTTCCGTATCTGGGCTTGTTGGTAATAGGACTAGAAAGAAGTGTTGTTGATAGTTTAGTTTTGGTTTAATTTTGCATGCAATCGGGTGGAGGTGGGCCCATCCGGAATCCGGGGTTTCCGGCCGGACGGGCGGCATCGACATCATCGGCGGCGTCACCGTCGTCATCGTCGTCGGCGGTGTCAACGCCGCATTTGGGGTTTGATTCAATGCAGCAGCAGCAGCAGCAGCAGCAGCAGCAGCAGCAGCAACAGCAGCAGCTGGCGTCTAGGCAGGTAAAGTGGTTCAATTTCTTTTGTGCTCTTAATGTGTTCGACGAATTGTCAGCTGGGTTCTGGAAATTGAGTTTAGTTTGCTCTTTTGGTTGTTATTCCTTGGACATCGTTTGCCAGCGTCTTGGTAGTGTATGTTCCTATTTTGTGGGTTGTGCCCATGTTGATCTAGCTTCTATATTAAGCTGGAGTTTTTTTGTTTTTATTATCATTTACTAAAATTTTATGTCTTGTACAACTTTGATTTATGTCATTCAGTCGCTACAACATCAATTACTTAGAAAATCTGATGGAAATGAAGCCCTTCTATCATATCAAGCTGGGGGTCTCCAAGGAGTTCTAGCTGGGAATAATTTTCCTCAGTCACCTGGTTCCTCACATTTGCCTCAGCAAGCAAGAAAATTCATTGATCTGGCTCAACAGCACCATAGTTCTTCTCAAGAGGGCCAAAACAGGAGCCAAGGTCTTGAGCAGCAAGCACTGAATCATCCTGTGCATCAAGCTTATCTGCAATATGCCATGGCAGCTCAGCAGAAGTCTGCTATGGCAATGCAATCGCAGCATCAGGCTAAAATGGGAATTATGAGCCCTCACTCTATTAAGGATCAAGAGATGCGAATGGGAAATCAGAAAATTCAGGAACTTATTCCAGCTCAGGGCTCTAATCAAGCATCAACTTTATCTAAAAACCCATCAGATCATTTTGTACGTGGTGAAAAACAAATGGAACAGGGACAACCGTCGACTTCTGATCAGAGAGCTGACCCAAAATCTTCTAGCCAGCTACCTGGCATGAGTAATTTGATGCATGTGAATATGACAAGGCCTATGCAGGCACCACAAGCTCAACAGGGAATCCCTAACGTGGCAAACAATCAGCTTGCCATGGCTCAGTTGCAGGCGATGCAAGCATGGGCTCTTGAACGCAATATTGATCTTTCACAACCTGCAAATGCAAACTTGATGGCACAGCTTATCCCACTGATGCAGTCTAGAATGGTTGCTCAACAAAAAGCAAATGAAAACAATATGGGATCACAGTCATCACCTGCTTCTGTCTCCAAGCAGCAGATTAATTCTCCGTTTTCTGGGAAAGAGGCTTCTGCCCATGCTAATTCATTGAACGACGTGCTTGGACAGTCTAGCAGCACAAAATCTAGGCAGATAGCTTCACCGAGCCCCTTTGGTCAAAACATGAATGGCAGTGTTGTTAACAACACTAGCCATGCCAGCATGCAGCAGTTCAGCATTCCTGGCATGGAAAACCAGTTACCTTCCAGGTTACCAGTTTCTGGAAATACAATACCTCCAGTGCTTCCTTCTGAATCTTCTGGGAATGTGAACCAAAGCATCGAACATTCCCTGCAAGGAAAAACATCGTTGAGTAGTCCAGATAATTTGCAAACGCAGTATGTCAGGCAGGTGAATCGATCCTCTCCACAACCTGCTCTTCCTACTAGTGATGGAGGTCCTAGCAATTCAACCTTATCACAAAGTGGTCACTCTAATCAGACAGCACAACAGCGATTTGGGTTCACCAAACATCAATTGCATGTCTTAAAAGCTCAAATTTTGGCAT